GAATTCATTCAGCTGATCTCTGGGTCGGACGAGAGCCTTTTTAGCTTAGCATAGATCATCGAATCAATTTGGACCATTAGCATCTGGCTCAAAAATATTTTTTTAATTGTTTTGATTATTATCCTGTTTAAAGCTCGTCTCTTCTGTAATTACATTGTGTACTAAGAATGGTGAAAAATGAAAAGTTGTTATTTTCTAGGTAGCTAGTGTAAATGCTAATGGTCTAATCCGATTCAATGCTTTATGCTAAGCTAAGCTAAAAGTGCTCCCTCCCCAAGCTGGAGATCAGCTCAAAAGATTTTAAAAATGGTAAAAACCTCACCTATTGGTCCCACAGGTTTCTTCTTGAATCGCCCCTGAGCGAAGGCTTTGTTGATGGACTCCATCAATTCTGGCATGTGATCACCAAACCGCCTCAGTCTGTTAGATCTGCTGGCCATCAGCTGCTTTTTTCTCTTCGATTTGGACTCCAGAGAGGCTTTTATGTTCTTTTCCTCCATGCTAAAAAAATGAAGAAAATTTAATTTAAAAATGTAGAATTTATGATTACAGCAAAAATAAATATCACCTACAGACGGTTCAGTCCGGTTTAGTGTAATATATATATTTTTTTGCCCCAGTCATAATTTAGAATTAACAGACTTCACCACAATTTACTCTTTTTTTTCTTTTTGCAAGCTCAGTTTTAAAAGAAATTATATTTTAAAATGATTCACTAAAGAAATGTCAGTTCTGTTCTCATTTATTCACCCTCCACTAGTTTGAGTTTCTTTTTATTCTGTTCTCTCCGCTATGACATTACACATGCTGAATCTTTTCACACTACTTTACACTCACCTATTCATGAGGTGTGCATTCTTGGTTTGCTTTCTAGATGCTTGAATGTTTTATCTATTTTAAATGTTTTACTTTGAATGGTTCAATTTTACTGTTATTATTAACTGTTTTTATATCTGTATCTTTGTTGTGTATAGCTTTTTGAGAATTAAGTTTTAAAGGTGCTAAATAAAAAATTATTATTATTATTATAAAAATATATATACAGTTGAAGTCAGAGTTATTAGCCCCCCTTTGAATTTTTGTTGCTTTTTTAAATATTTCCCATATTATATTTAAAAGCAAGGAAATTTTCACAGCATGTCTGATAATGTTTTTTCTTCTGGAGAAAGTCTTATTTGTTTTACTTCAGCTAAAATAAAAGCTGTTATTAATTTTTTAAACACCATTTTAAGGACAAAATTATTAGCCCCTTTAAGCTAACTTTTTTTTCTATAGTCTACAGAACAAACCATCGTCATACAATACCTTGCCTAATAACCCTAACCTGACTGGTTAACCTAATTAACCTAGTTAAGCCTTTAAATGTCACTTTAAACTGCATAGAAGTGCCTTGAAAAATATCTAGTAAAATATTATTTATGGTCATCATGGCAAAGATAAAACAAATCAGTTATTAGAAATAGGTTATTAAAACTATAATGTTTAGAAATGTGTTAAAGAAATCTATTCTCTGTTGAACAGAAATAGGGGAAAAATAAACAGGGGTCTAATAATTCAGGGGGGCTAATAATTCTGACTTCAACCGTATACTGAAGATGGTCATGAGCTTTGAGACATGACTGAAAGGATAAGATCTCGGCCTGGGAATGCCTCGGGATCCCCCCGGAGGAGCTGGAGGAAGTGTCTGGGGAGAGGGAAGTCTGGGGTTCTTTCCTAAGAAAGACCTGCGACCCGGCCACGGAAAAGCGGTATAAAAAGAATGAATGAATGAATGAATGATATACTGAAGAATTTTAGGAAAAATAGCTGATTTTTTTCAACATTCTTCAGAATATCTTGTTTTGTGAAATTCATAAACATTTAGAACCACTTGAATGTGAGTAAATGGTAAAAAAATAATAACTTGGGTGAACTATTCCTTTACATCCTCATCATCATATTACATTACATCATCATCATCACGCCCTATTAGGGTTAAAGCATTCCATTATAGCCCAGCTAAAGCAAACATATGTACTTTAATGCATACCTACCAACGCTCCTCTTTTTCCCGGGAGTCTCCTGTATTTTAGACCCATCTCCTGCCACCCCCCCATTTTACTTCTCCAGGAAAACTCCTGTAATTTCACCCCCACAGCAGTCCTCAGCTTTTTGGTAGTCTAACAAACCCCCTGGTTGCCAATTTTGGTATAGTATCCGATTACAGTTACAAACACCACAGTACAGTTAACCTACTAACCGGGTTCTCAACAGTGTTATTTAGACACCTCACCCAAAACACCGGTCTCCTGGATTTTCAGAGACAAATCTTGGCAGGTATGCTTTAATGTATTATTCATGAGCTTCATTCAATATACAGTGGGGAAAATTTGTATCGAACACATCACCATTTTTCTAAAAAAAACATTTTAAAAGGTGCTGTTGACTTGAAAATTTCACCAGATGTTGGTTAAAAGCAAATAATTCTATATATGCAAGGAAAACAAAACTAATTTGTTTTTGCAGATGAAGTTAGGTAATATTTATATTAATAATATGAAAAGACACAGGGAAAAAGTTTTGAACAACACATGAAGAAAGGGAGGTGTAGAAAGGGAGTGAAAGCCCAGACAGTAGCTTAAATCTCTCAGTTGTTCTTCAGTAACTCTCTGCCCTTCCTCATTGTCAATGAATATCAGCTGCTTCAGTCTAACATCTACATTAGCAGGAGGACGAAGATGAAACCAGAGTTGACATTTCAGCAAGACAATGATTCAAACACAGCCAAGTAAACTTTCAAATGCTTTCAGAGAAAGAAAATGAAGCTGTAGAATGGCCCAGCCAATCCCTTGACTTGAATCCAATAGACAATAGAAATTTAAGATTAGATTTGACCCACAGAACCATCAAGACACTTACTGTACACTCTGTAGAAGTCTGTGAAAAACTCGTTTGAGCAACGCATGTGACTTCATTCTCCATATGAGAGACCATTAGTGTCAGTAGTTCAGCACTTTCTCCTTGTGTCATACTATTGTTATTACACAGATTTTTCAGATTTTTTATTGGTATGTTTGTATTATTTGAGTTTTTGAAAGTCAACAGCTCTTTTAGAAATATTACTCCCAGGAAAAAAACATGACATGTTCAAAGCTTATTACCCCACTTTACCTTTGAGTCTGATAATTCGCATACATGATAAAGCTGCCAGTCTTTACCTGAGTTTATCGTATTCCTCTCTTCCTTTATGTAGAGCTTGTTGTCTGTCCTTAATCTCTTGATTCAGAGCTCTGGACTCTGTCTCAAGCTTTTCCAGCTGGTTTTTCAAGGCAGATATTTTTTTAAGATGCTGCATGTGCTCGGCCTCTTGGCGGTTTCTGCTGCTGCTAGAACAGTGACAGTAGTCAATTACTCCAGCTAATTGACTCATGTAGATATGCATATGCAAATAAAGCTGGACAGTTGCAAACAAAAATCTCCAAAGCAAATTATGTTGATGTTAAATAACACACAGGGAAGAACAGCCTAAAATTAAAGTTGTTCCCTCAATAAATGGACTCACCCATGACTTATTTTGTGAATTCTCTCCTGAAGAAGGCATTGCTCCTTTTTTAACTGTTTCAATTTATTCTCAGCGCGGAAGTAAACCACCTGAAAAACTGGCACTCTAAAAACCTATACAAACTCTTGACAGATCAACAAAAACCCTATTCAAAACTTAAAGGAGCAGCTCACCCATAAATTAAAGCCATGTAATCTTTTATTTATTCTACAGTGCATTCGTATCTCCATTGACAAGAATCATAAGAGCGGACAAACAATTAGCATGAATTAGCTAAATGAGCTATATTGTAAGGGCTGCACAATATATAAAAAAAGTATATGCAAAATACGTATCGCAGACAACAGTGATAAATGAAATGTATTTTATGTGCTAACTTGCCAAGCATTTGTGTTTCGCATGCATACTGTAGGTTGTTTATCCAAATTGGACCAATCAGATGGGGTCTTGCTATCTGTACACTGTATCTGCGCCTGCTCTTCACGCATAAATCCAGAGGCCACTCTCGACTGACTGACCAATCGACTGACCCACCTTTCTCCTTCCCTAAACCCAACCAATAGTGTTTTCAAAAGCACTGATTTACCAGCGCCCACCCACTTCCCTAAACCCAACCAATAGTGTTTTCAAAAGCACTGATTGACCAGCGCCCACCCACTTCCCTGAACCAAACCAATAGTGTTTTCAAAAGCACTGATTGACCAGCGCCCACCCACTTCCCTAAACCCAACCAATAGTGTTTTAAAAATCACTGATTGACCAGCGCCCACCCACTTCCCTAAACCAAACCAATAGTGTTTTCAAAAGCACTGGTTGACCAGCGCCCACCCACTTCCCTAAACCCAACCAATAGTGTTTTCAAAAGCACTGATTGACCAGCGCCCACCCACTTCCCTAAACCCAACCAATAGTGTTTTCAAAAGCACTGATTGACCAGTGCCCACCCACTTCCCTAAACCCAACCAATAGTGTTTAAAAAGATCACTGATTGACCAGCGCCCACCCACTTCCCTAAACCAAACCAATAGTGTTTTAAAAATCACTGATTGACCAGCGCCCACCCACTTCCCTTAACCTGACCAACAGTGTTTTCAAACAGTGCGTTCAAATGCAGAAATGTGACTTATTCTTAAAATAATCATAAAAAGGGCGGTATTATTTATTTAATTAAATCTGGTTGAAAATTATGCAGTAAGGTATTTTTTCAATTACAATTAACTAAACGCTAACGTTTAATTGACCAAATTCACAGTTTATTTCTGTTAATTCCTACATATTTCCATGAATTCCCATATATTCACTGCAAAAAATGCTTTTCTTGCTCAGATTTTTGTCTTGTTTCTAGTCTAAATATCTAAAATGTCTTATATCAAGAAGCATTTTCTAGACAAGCAAAACATATTGTCTAGTTTTAAGAAATAGCATGCCAATATTAAGTGAGTTTTTCCATAAAACAAGCAAACTAATCTGCCAAAGGGGTAAGCAAATTAATTTTGTTTTTTCTTTTGACGTAAGATTATTTTGCTTACCCCATTGGCAGATTATGTAGCTTGATTTAAGAAAAAAACTTACTTAATATTGACATATTATTTCTTACAACAAGACAATATGTTCTTCTTGTCTAGAAAATGCTTCTTGGTTTAGGAATTTTTAGATATTTGGGCTAGAAACAAGACAAAAAATCTAAGCAAGAAAAGCATTTTTTTTTCTGTGTTCCCATTAGTTTCCAGCCTTGAAAATTCCCAGAATTTTGCAACCTTCATCAGAATATAAAGATAAAAAAATCTACTTAGGTCTTCAGTCATCCATAGAGTTTTGAAGTCTAAATGTTTTAGCCTGAATTAATTTAATAATATCATCAAAATATCAATTATCTGATTACTGTAATATCATTATATGAATACATTGTTTTTAAAAGTATCTAAAAAAATTGCATTTTCCAGAGAAATGTTATATTGCAAAATATTGACAATAATAATTTACAAAAATATTGCATATAACAGATGAATCCAGGTATTGTGCAGCCCTACTGTATTATTAATGTCTTATCATAATAATAGTCTTTTTGGACCTCAAAACAATTTTTTTTTTTTTTGACGAAAAACATAAGGGAGTGAAATATTTGTTTTTGGGTGAAATACTCCTTCAAGAATAACAATAACAAACAAGCAAATGTGACTGAGCTGTTATTATTTAACAAATGCTTAGCCTAACTGTTGATGTCATCATTTATATTTAAATTTGTATTTTTATATACAGTGCTCAGAATAAATTAGAACACCCCTCACAGATCTTTTTTTTTATTAATATTTTCTATACCAATAATATTTTTGTGTTTATAGGATGGTTTAGTCAGTACCAAAGCCAAATCTGGAAATAATCAAACAAAAAAAAGAAGATCCCAGTTCAAATTTGAGGAAATGTTGAGAAAATAGTGTAAATAAAATTTTAATAAACAGGAAAAATCAAGTGAAACAAAAAATATCAAATTTAGTTGAGATTTTGTAGTTTATAACTTTTTCAAAATGTAAGTATATTATTGCTCTATTTCTAAAGGCTTTAGGTGACCAAACTCGAGCTTTAAATGAGAAATGGATAGAATTATTTATTTTTAAAAGGGGTGTATTCATTGAGTACTCACAATGAGCACTGTGTATATGTATGTATGTGTGTGTGTGTATATATATATATATATATATATATATATATATATATATATATATATATATATATATATATATATATATATATATATATATATATATACAGTTGAAGTCAGAATTATTAGCCCCCTGTTTATTTTTTCCCCAATTTCTGTTTAACGGAGAGAAGATTTTGTTCCACACATAATAGTTTTAATAACTCATTTCTAGTAACTTTTATTTTATTTTACCTTTGCCATGATGACAGTAAATAATATTGGACTATATATTTTTCAAGACACTTCTATACAGCTTAAAGTGACATTTAAAGGCTTAAATAGGTTAATTAGGTTAACTAGGCAGGTTAGGGGAATTAGGCAAGTTATTGTATAACGATGGTTTGTTCCATAGACTAAGGGGCTAATAATTTTGTCCTTAAAATGGTGTTTAAAAAATTAAGAACTGCTTTTATTCTAGCCGAAATAAAACAAATAAGACTTTCTCCAGAAGAAAAAATATTATCAGACATACTGTGAAAATGTCCTTGCTCTGTTAAACATCATTTGGGAAATATAAAAAAAAAAAAATTATTCAGAGGGTAGCTAGTAATTCTGACTTCAACTGTATATATATATATATATATATATATATATATATATATATATATATATATATATATATATATATATATATATATATATATATATATATAAATAATAAAATTGCATAAGAACTCAATTAAATAAATAGAAAGCAAAGACATCTCACCTCCTGGCTTTTCTGTGCTTTTGTTTTGACTTTAATTTCCTCCTTCATTTTCCGGCTCTCCTCTGTGAGATGTTCCTGCTCCTCTCGAAGCGTACACAGATGTTTCTGGCTGTCCTGCAGTTTCTTCTCAGCAAGAGCAACTTTGTTCTTAAAGACAAAACGGTTAGTTGACAACTAATGTTTATGGGGTCAGTGATAAGACGCCTGCACAAAACTGAAAGTAAAATGTCAAAACACAGGTGAAACAATATTCCATCCTCATTCAGAGTAACAGTTACATTCAACAGTTTTATTAACAATATATGAGAATTGCTGCTTTTTTTGACCTGTACTTTTTAAAATAAATCAGAAAACTATACTTTTTAGCATACAATTTAACAGTGGTGGAAAGAGGACTGAAAAAAAATCATGCTCATTGTCATTGATTTGACTGATGTAACCACTACATGGGTTAAAACAGGTTATTTTCTTACACTTCTGTCAGAAGTATTTAACGTTTAATAGACAAGGCAGAATATTTACTTCATTAAATCATTATAGATGTATATATATTTATTATAGTTTTATATTTATTTATATATATTTTATTTATTTATTTTTGCAGCTTGTAAAAAGGGGCATAATAGGTCGAAAAAGTTCTACCATCAACATAAACAACTGATTATTCAGACCTGACAGAGCTGCAGCTTTTCTTCATGTTTACAATCAGCATCTTCTTTTTCGATTTGTTCCTTCAGCTGTTCAACTTGACTCTCTTTCTCTCTCACCTAAACAGAAACACGGTTTAACACAAGGCCGTCTGCAAGCAGCTTTTCACACAACTATTAATAGAGCTTACCAAAGACCACGCCATCTTCTTTTTCAGGTCCTCCAGAGTCTGTCTCATATCATCCAGAGACGACATGCGCTCATATCTTTCTTTCCTCTGCAAGAATAACTGCCTGAGATCTCTGAGACACTAAAAATAAAGATATGACCAATGTGTGATTATTAGCACAGTCCACAAAATGTGCTTTGAGGGTGAGTAAGTATGAGAAACGTTAACAGTGATGCTTAACTTTAGGGCTTGTCAATATGACAATATATACAGTTGAAGTCAGAATTATTAGCTCTCCTCAATTATTTTATTCCCCAATTTCTGTTTAACAGAGACAAGATTCTGTTCAACACATTTCTAAACATAATATTTTTAATAACTCATTTCTAATAATAATATAAACTAATAATAATTAATTAAATTAAATAATAATTAAAAATAAAATAATAATTTATCTTTGCCATGATGACAATAAACAATATTTTACTGAATATTTTTCAAGATATTAGTATTCAGCTTAAAGTGACATTTAAAGGCTTAACTAGGTTAATTTGGCAAGTCACTGTATAACAGTGCTTTGTTCTGTAGACTATCAAAAAACAAATATTGTTAAAGGGGGCTAATAATATTTCCCTTAAAACGGTTTAAAAGAATTAAAAACTGCTTTTATTCTAGCCAAAGTAAAACAAATAAGACTGTCTCCGGAAGGAAAAAATATTATAGAAAATACTGTGAAAAATTCCTTAAAAACACATTAGTGCTCCTACAGGTACTATAAAGTGATATACACTCACCGGCCACTTTATTAGGTACACCTGTCTCACTGCTCGGTAACGCAAATTTCTAATCAGCCAATCACATGGCAGCAACTCAATGCATTTAGGCACGTAGATCAAGACAATCTGCTGCCGTTTAAACAGAATCTGGCATCAGAATGGGGAAGAATCAGAATGGGGAAAGGTTATTTAAGTAACTTTGAACATGGCATGGTTGTTGATGGCAGACGGGCTGGTGTGAGTATTTCAGAAACTACTGATCTACTGGAATTTTCTCGCACAACTATCTCTAGGTTTAAAGAGAATGGTCTGACAAAGAGAAAATATACAGTGAGCGGCAGTTCTGTGGGTGCAAATGCCTTGTTGATGCTAAAGGTCAGAGGAAAATGGCAAGACTGGTTCCAGTTGACAGAAATGCAACAGTAACTCATATAACCAGTCGTTATAACCGAGGTCTGCAGAAGAGCATCTCTGAACACACAACTTGTCCAACGTTGAGGCGGATGGGCTACAGCAGCAGAAGACCACACCGGTGCCACTCCTGTCAGCTAAGAACAGGAAACTGAGGCTACAATTCTCACAGGCTCACCAACATTGGACAATTGAATATTAGAAAAGCGTTGCCCGGTCTGATGAGTCTCTATTTCTGCTGCCACATTCGGATGGTAGAGTCAGAATTTGGCATCAACAACATGAAAGCATGGATCCATCCTGCCTTGTATCAACAGTTCAAGCTGATGGTGGTGGTGTAATGGTGTGGGGATATTTTCTTGGCACACTTTGGGTCTATTAGTGCCAATTGAGTATCATGTCAACGCCACAGCCTACTTGAGTATTGTTGCTGACCCAGTCCATCCCTTTATGACCACAGTGTATCCATTCCCTGAGGGCTACTTCCAGCAGGATAACACTGGTTTCTTGAACATGACAATGTGTTCACTGTACTCAAATGGCACCCACAGTCACCAGTTCTCAATCCAGTAGAGCACCTTTGGGATGTGGTGGAACAGGAGATTTGCATAATGGATGTGCAGCCGACAAATCTGCAGCAACTGTGTGATGCTATCATGTCAATATGGACCAAAATCTCTGAGGAATATTTTTAGTACCTTGTTGAATCTATGCCACGAAAGATTAAGGCAGCTCTGAAGGCAAAAATGGTCCAACCCAGTACTAGTAAGGTGTACCTAATAAAGTGGCCGGATATGAGATGACTTAAATTGTGATATGAGCTTTTTTGTCATATTGCCCACCCCTATTTGACTTTACAAAACATACTGTGTACATTGTTGAATATTGAACTCAAATATAATGAACAAACAGGCTCACCTCCTCTTGTCTTTCCACCTGGTCTCGTGTCACGGCTTTAGTCTGCTTGATGTGAATGTAGTCTCTTTTCATTTGCTCCAGAAGAGTAGCTTTCATGAAAAACTTTAGATAAAGTTAGTCAGTTAACTGTACCGCAATACTACTAGCTATTGATGACGTATGGAAAATAAATCACCCTGTATTTGTCCGCTTCACTTTTCGAATGCAGGAATTGTTTACTCATTTCTTGGTTAAGGACAGACACAGGATTGTCAACCTTTGATTAAATCAGAAACAGAAATAAATGGAAGTTTTTAAATGGAACTGTAAAAAGAAACAGTTTTCTTCTTTCATACATTAATATTTGTGCACAATGCAATTAATAAAGTGATATTATGTATTTTAGTGATTCATTTTATATGCCATATATGAAAAGCCTACTTTAGCGATTTTGCTTTTTTTTCCATAATATTTTTTATAATTTTCAGTTTGTACACATTGAAATACAACATTTTACAAACATTTTGCAACAATAATAATCTTGTTGCATTTACAAATTATACAAAATATAAGGATATATATATATTTATAATAGAAACTAAAAGCAAACAACAAACAAACAACAAAAAACAATAAATAAAAAAATAAAAAGAAAAGAAAAAAGTAAAATTGCTCCTCTTTTTGTCATTAATGGTGCGATTTGCATTTTTAAACCTAAATAAAACTTAAGAGCTTTTTTTTATTATTTTGTTAAAGGCATAGTTATCCCAAAAATGTTTAATTCTATCTTAATTTACTCAAACTTGCCTTGTTCCAAAGCAGTTTTAGCATTTTGTTCTGTTGACCACAAAAGATGTTTTGAAGAATGTAAGAAAACTGCAACCCTTGACTTCCATACAATTTTCTACTATGGATGTCAATGGTTCCTGGATTCCAATATTCTTCAAACTATCTTCTATTGTGTTAAACACAAGAAAAAAATTTACTTGTTTGGTAAAAATGATGACAGAATATTAATTTTAGGTGAACTATTCCTTTAGGTTCTGCGCAAAAATCTCCCAAAAAAGTCCACAGATTAAGTCTGGCCTAACCAAAACTTAAAGAACAAGCAAGCTTTAGGTAGAATTTCATAAAAGACGTCACATCGTTTTTCACCTGGATGCCAAAATGGTCCAGTATTGCAGTCAACTCCTCCTTCTTAGTGGAAACCACATGCCCTAAAAATAAATCAAATTGAATAAATGTGTGAACTGGAAAGAAAGTCTTCTTACTGATGTCACCCAGAGAGGAAATGATGCAATTACCTGCTTTATTCTTGATCTTACAAGTCCTGCCTCCATCACTTGTGATCCGATGTTCAATGCAGATGCTGTCTCCATAAACATCCCCTTTATAGGGGTCATTTCCTCGGTTTTTTAATTTCACTTTAATGTCTGTAGAACTGGAAATGAACACATCAGAGTGTTTACAAAAAAACATGAACTTGTGAAGATACAGTTGCAGTCAAAATTATTCCCTCTCTTGTGAATGTTTGTTTTTTTTTCAAATATTTCCCAAATTATGTTTAACCAAGCAAGGAATTTCTCACAGTATTTCCTATAATATTTTTTCTTCTGGAGAAAGTCTTAATTGTTTTGTTTCAGCTAGATTAAAAGCAGATTTCATTTATTTTCCATTTTAAGGTCAATATTACTAGCCCCCTTAAGCAATGTGTTTTTTTGACTGTCTACAGCAGTGAATCCCATAGTGGGGGTCTCCTGAGGGGTCACTGGACAATTAGGGGGGGGCTTGGTGATTTCCAAAAATCAAATCAATTTTATTAAATTATTAGAATTTGCATACTTTATCTACAAAATACAAAAAAAATAGTAACTAATAGTTACATTAAAAAAACAACATGCAAAGAAAATCCATTGTTCTTTCGATTTTTTTTTTGTGACCCCTTTAGTGATTACATTATTAAAAACACAGCACACTGATTTTATGGCACAAGGTTTAACTCTTACACATTTACAGCATTCACGTACACACAAAAAAATACAGGCTACAACTGAACATTGAGGATGGTCTCAAAGTGGCGTTCTTCAAAATTAAATGATGAATAGACTTGGGCCTATTGGTATGTGTGCGCCGTTGTGTGCAAGGTTTATATATTAATAACCACCTCAGAGTTCCTGGCATTAAATTTTGGGGATTTGCGGGCTGAAAAGTTTGGGAACCCCTTTTCTACAGAACAAACCACTGTTATACAACGATTTTCCTAATTATCCTAACCTACCTAATTAACCTGGTTAAGCCTTTAAATGTCACTTTAAGCTGTCTTGAAAAATATCTAGTCAAATTTATTTACTGTCATCATGGCAAAGATAAAATAAATCAGTTATTAGAAATGAGTTATTAAAACTATTATGTTTAGAAATGAGTTCAACAATTTTTCTTTCTGTTCAACGGAACTGTGGGGAAAATATTCAAGAGGGGTAATAATTCTGACTTCAACTAAATATTATTGAATCTTTCTGAATAATAATATACTTACGTCTCTCCATATTTCACAAAACCTTTCAAAGACGTTCCTCTATTAGTTGTAGTTGCTTTTCCACCGAGACCCACTATAAGAGCTGTCAGAATGGCACTTTTCCCAGCTTAAAGCAATGACAAAAAACACAAACATGGAGAAAAGACTCACAATAAAACAACACTGTTAATATATATCTATATATACATACACACACACACACACACACTCACACTCTCACACACACACACACACACACAAACACACACATACATATATGTATATGTATATATATATATATATATATATATCCCTTAAAGACCTAGAGGTATTTTGTGGGCACCTAATGGGCCTATATTTTTTATTTTTTTTAAAGCAGTTTTATTTTTATTTTAGCAGTCAGCCTCAAGTGTCATATATCATTTTAAACAGGAGAACCTGAAGTTTCAATCTGTATCATTTAAAGGTCCAGTCTAAAATATTTTTTGGTCCAAAAACATATGAACAGACAGAAAATATTCCAATATTTTCCAGAAACGATTTTTAAAAAAAGTGGCATTTTCTAGTTATTTCAAGCAAAACCTTATGAAGTTTGTTTTTCTTTCTTTAGAAATACATGCTATGATGTTTTAAACTTCCAAAATAAATTTTGTCTACATCCACAATTCCCTGAGCAAGTTATAGCAATTTATTTCAATGTTATTCCAAGGGGTTTTTCTATGGGGGAAAAAATGCATTTATTTACTGACAATGTATTTGCCCAAAAGTTCTGGGAATGAACTAAACAGAAAACAATGTTACAAAATAATAGAACAGTGAAGCAAATTTGACTTTTTTCAAATAATATATTTTCAGTTACTATAAACAACACCACTTACAATGAACAAATAAAAAAATAAGAAAATAAGAAATAATGTGTTAAAGTCCAAATAAACATGGTGCAAATCCTCCTAAAAAAATAAATATATATTTATATTGATATAATATTTTCTATAAATATAATATTGATAAAATATTGATATAAATATTTACTATACTATAAATAGTTACAAAACTAAACTAGATTCAATATGGAACATCCTTAGGTTTTATGTGCCAGGATGGATATAGTTGTCTGTGGATATGGATTTGGATATGGTTGTCTGCAATGCAGACAAACAGCTGCACCTTTATTTGCGTCTTTTGAAAACAGCAAGAGCAGCAGTTCGTCTTTGCTGTGTCACTGTTTTTTCATGTTTCTGTGCTGCTGTGCATGCAAAAGTACTTAGTATGAGAATTATTTCATGCAAAACTTTTTTTTTGCGTTTTATTTAGCCGCGCATAAATGTATGCCTATCTCTCATTCCGTGTTGTTCAAAAAGCTCGTTTTTGGTCCACAAACAAAAGCGAAACCTATGCTTATTGGTTGTGATATAGCGAGTTTGAACCAATCTGGGCATGGGGGAGGGACAATGCATCAATGTATCATGTCTGGTTTGTCCGGAGACACAGTGACGAGCGTTTCTTTGTCAAATCAGCGTTGTCAAATTTTTATGACGTAACCGCACTGATTCCGGAGCATCAGTGACATTTATATCAGCGGTTCACAGAAACATTTATAACAATTAATTGTAATATTTATTGATAAAAATTACATGACATGATACTTTTGAGTATGAGGTACCAGAGGTGCTTATAAGATTCATTCATTCATTTTTTCCTTTATTCATCAAGGGTACCCACAGCGGAATGAACCACCAACTACTCCAGCATATGTTTTATGCAGCCGATACCCTTCCAGCTACCAGCTTCCAGCATGAAGGTCGCTGGTCCGAGCCTCGGCTGGGTCAGTTGGTGTTTCTGTGTGGAGTTTGCATGTTCTCCCTGCGTTCGCGTAGGTTTCCTCCGGGTGCTCCAGTTTCCCCCTCAGGCTAAAGACATGTGCTACAGGTGAATTGGGTAAGCTAAATTGTCCATAATGTATAAGTGTGAATGAGTGTGTATGGATGTTTCCTGGAGATGGGTTGCGGCTGGAAGGGCATCCGCTGCGTAAAAAACCTGCTGGATAAGTTGGCGGTTCATTCTGTTATGGCGACCCTGGATTAATAAAGGGACTAAGCCGAAAAGAAAATGAATGAATGAATCATTTATTCATTCTCCACTTGATCCTGTTTGAGCGTCTTCTGTTAAACACAAAGGAAGATACACTGAAGAATGTTGTAAAAAAAACAGCCATTGACTTCCATGGTATTTTTATTCTTACTATGAAAGTCAATGGTTGCTTTTATCCAACATTATTCAACTTTCTTACATTTTTATTTATTCAACTGCTATTTCTGTTTAATAGTTCTGATTTTAAAAAGTTATTCATAAAAGTTTACAACAATTTAAGTGTGATTAAATGAGGAGGACATTCTCATTTTGAGTAAACTATCTTTTGTATGATACTTTGAAGTGTTTGGTTTCACACATTCATATATTTACTGTAATAATGTCAATCTTAACTGTTCAGAAATTATGTTGGCTCTTACTTCCATTGTTTCCAACAATGAAGTTGACATTTGCTCCAAATTTTAAAGGTCCAAGCAAATGGTGGCTCATGAAGTTCCTCAAAGTTATACTTTCTATCACACCGATATCTCCGACATTCTGGAAAAGCACATGATGTTACTTGGATCAGACATGCTATAACAATTATTCACTGGCCAGGGTACCCATTTTAAGCCAAGTATAAAATTCCCTGACTTTTACTGACTCAAAAACTAAATTTCCATGACCTACAGCTGAACCCAGAAGTTTACATACACTCTAAAAAAAGGGACATAACCATTTTTTTTTTTTTTTTTTTATGTCTGATGGTAAATCATACTAAAAGATATCCATTTTAGGTCCGTTAGGATTACCTAAATCAATTAAATTTGCTAAATGCCACAATAATGAGAGAATTTTTTTGAGAATGTTTTTTAGACAGTCAAAACTTTACACACATTTCCTTGGTATTTTTTTAGCTTTGGTTTTAAACTTTATAACTCTGGTCTGATGTTTTGGGTATCCTTCCACAAGCTTCTCACAAAAGTTTGCAGGAATTTTGACCCATTCCTCCAGACAGAATTGATGTTACTGAATAAGATTTGTTGGCTTTCTTGCTCGCACAACCTTTTTCAACTCTGGCCACAAATTTTCTATAGGATTGAGGTCAGGGCTTTGTGATGGCCACTCCAAAACATTCACTCTGTTGTCCTTAAAGCACATGTCAACTAATTTGGCAGTATGCTTAGGGTCATGGTCTGTTTGGAAGACCCATTTGTGGCCAAGTCTTGAGATGTTGCTTCAGTATTTCTACATGATGTTCTTTCTTCATGATCCCATCTATGCTGTGAAGTGGACCAGTCCCTCCTGCAGCCAAACAGCCCCACACAGGGCCGGAGTGGGACTCCTTTTCAGCCCTGGAGTTTCAAGCCTTAGACTGGCCCACCTCAGTTCACGACTGACTATATTAAAATAGGGTCTTTTCCAATTCATTTTCTAATGACACTATCACGTCTTTTTAAGAAAACAGCTGCTTTAGAACTTCAAATGTTCAACAACCTTACAGTTTTATATGTCTTAACAATAAAAATGAAAATAAATAAATAAATAATTACTCAAGTGAGGTTAGAACACGGATCGACAGCATCGTAACGCAACGTGGGCTTGTAAGCTTTCCCCTTTGTCCTCCAAATGTAGCACTGATAATTATGGCCAAACAGTTCAATCTTAGCTCCATCAGACCACAGGACATGTCTCCAACAATTTTTCCAGTGTAATTTAGCAAGTTGTAATCTGGCTTTTTTGTTGATTCTGTCTTGTTGATTTTCTCATGTTGTCACACAAGGAAGCAGTGTGTTTGAGGTTTTCTTTAAGTACTGTTCTACAGTTGTGCCTCCAATTAACTCAAATGTTGTCAATCAGCCAATCAGAAGCTTCCAAAAGCTTGACACCATCATCTGAGCTTTTCCAGAGACATAATCATCTTATTGTATGTAAACTTGACTTTCAAGAAAAGTTATAACAACTTCTCAAAAAAAATCTCTTTCAATATTCTGCTATTAAGCATAACAGAAACAAATTTGATAATCCAAACTCACCTAAAAGAGAAAAGGTTAAGTCACATTAACATCTGACTTTTTAAAAAATGGTTATGTGCCTTTTTATAGTGGATGTAAACTTCTGGTTTAAACTGTATATTGTCTTAATTCAGAAGCCTTTCTTATTTCTAGTTCAAATATCTAACACTTCTTAAATCAAGAAGCAATTTATAGGCAAATATAAAAATAATTGATAACACTTCATAGTAACTACACACTATGAATCATTTATCAAGCATTAGCATATAGTGAATTCATTATCTGTTAAGCATTACCTCTACATTAATAGACGTTAGTAAGCAGTTCATAACAATGCTGTATTTTTGATTTATAAGTACATTTATAATGTGCTTATTAACTGTACTTTCATAATTTGTGACTGATTGATTTTTCATTACTAAATCAAGTATTGCATTATTTACAAACCATTTGTATTTAAGTGTAGCTGGTGTTTTTTTTTAAGATCATTCAGAATGAGTTAGTAAATGATTAATAAACTATTTAAATCAACATTTATATTTATTTAATTATTCAGGCATATACTAATAGTACCTTATAAGGTAATAAATGCTCCATTAACTCAGCTTCATGCAGTTTTGTGACTTAATCTAAAGTGAGGACTATTTATGCTTTATAAATCCCTTATAAATGACAAATAAAGGCTTAGTATCAAATGAACAATCCATCTTTGCAATCTTATCTAAAAAATTAAATCACTGTAAAGCAGGGGCGATTTTAGGATTTTACTTTAGGTGGGCTACAAATCTGACTCAGTTACACCAGTTCTGTCAGGAGGAATGGGCCAAAATTCCTGCAAACTACTGTGAGAAGCTTGTGGAAGGATACCCAAAATATTTGACCAAAGTTATACAGTTTAAAAAAATAAATAAATACCAGTAAATAAATAAAAAAAATACCAAGGAAATGTATGTAAACTTGTGACTGTCTAGAAATAAATAATTAATTGTGGCATTTAGCAAAGGAAAATCATTTAAGTAATCCTAACAGACCTTAAATAGTAAACGTTTAGTATGATTTACCATCAGACATTTAAAAAAATGGTTGTTTATTTTTTTACAATGTATGTAAACTTCTGGTTTCAACTGTATATAAATATGAATTTACTTAATTCCATAACCTGTGGGAACCCTGACTGACCATTAATCCAACATTATCCCTATCAGGTTGTGTTTAGGAAGTAATGAAACCGACCGAAGCAGAAAGATGATCTTGAAGGGCTCCATCCTCCTCATCAACATCCTCCTCCTCCAACACATGAGTTTTACCATCAGTCCGAGGGGTCTTCGATGGTTTTACAGCATTGTGAACACCAGATTTCCTCTTATTCATGGCAGAGAGATGTCCAAACTTGAGGGAAAAGACACAGTATTACGAGCTAAAAGCATAACATCACGCATCCAAAGTCTGTCAAACACAGTTTCACTACTTAACTCGGCCAGTAACTGATAAAACACGAAAATTAAAGCTCAGATGTTTATATTTAACGTCAGAAATTACTTTTAAAAAGCCACTGAAGCAACGACAGATGCAGAAACACAAAGAGGAACAATAGATAACGTTAGACTAGCGAACAACTAACGTTACCGTCAACTGACATGTAGGAACAGGTGAACAGCCTATAATAAATGAGATAAAATGGCTCTGGAATGAGGATCACGAGTAAATAGAGCATAAACGGCGTTAAATTAAGTACGAGTATGACTGGTGTACTTACTCCATTCCCCTGCATATGGAAAGTAAACGCAAAATGTTTTGACGACTTCCTGGTGAACAGGCAGCGCGCATATGCAACAAACCCCACCCATTAAGTGTAAACCTGGTGTAAACTAGTCAGTCACTCAGTCAGTCAGAGTAGACAAACAAGGTATTTATTTATTTATTTATTTATTTATTTTATTTGTTTATTTTTGCCTTCAGAAATGTAAATACGGAGGACGAAACAAATAAATACCCAAATAAATAATTGATTAAATCTATAAATTCCTGCATAAATAAAACAAATAAATATGCAATTTATTTATTTATTTATTGTTTTATATATGCAGAAATTTGTGGATTTACTTACTCATTTATTAAAAAAAAAAAAAAATATATATATATATATATATATATATATATATATATATATATATATATATATGTATGTGTGTGTGTGTGTGTGTGTGTGTGTGTGTGTGTGTGTGTGTGTGTGTGTGTGTGTGTGTTTCTATCATTAATCCATCATTAAAGGTTTAACCAGAAACACTGGCGAGATTGTAACTTACAGTATATTTACTAAATATTAATGTATGAAACTAATCCAAAACTAAAACATTATTTATAAACTGAATAAAAATCAATTAAATCGAGCTAATTCAGCAGGTTGGTGCCTATAGACCTGCAGAAATAATTGGTAGTGCCTTGGTTACTGCAGTAACAAAGCAGCATGATGTCAAATCAAGTAGGATTTCATTGATTTCATAAACTACACAGCATCCTGATATTGGCAGATTTGGTAGATTTAACTTTAGCAGACAACCATACACTGCATAATCAAAAAAGATATAAAATTTAATACATTGCAAAATAGCATTTAAGACTTTTAAATACTTTTTAAGAGCCTTACATTTCTCAACATTCATTTCTCAACTTTTAATAGTTTTTTAAGACCCGGCAGACACCCTGATATACAGTTGAAGTCAAATTTATTAGCCCCCCTGTTTATTTTTTTCCCCATTTTCTGTCTAACGGAGAGCAGATTTTTTTTCCAACACATTTCTAAACATAATAGTTTTAATAACTCATCTCTAATAACTGATATGATGACAGTAAATACTATTTGACTAGATATTTTTCAAGACGCTTACGTACAGCTTAAAGTGACATTTAAATGCTTCACTAGGTTAATTAGGTTAACTTGGCAGGTTAGGGTAATTAGGCAAGTTATTGTATAACGATGGTTTGTTCTGAGGACTATCGAAAAAAATATATAGCTTAAAGGGGCTAATAATTTAATCCTTTAAATGGTGTTTAAAAAATTTAAAACTGATTTTATTCTAGCCAAAATAAAACAAATAAGACTTTCCCCAGAAGAAAAAATTTTTATCAGACATACTGTGAAAATTTCCTTGCTTTGTTAAACATCATTTGGGAAATATTAAAAAAAGAAATAAATTTAAAGGGGGCTAATACTTTTGACTTCAACTGTATATTGAATTCATCTTGATTTCTATAGCTCCTTTACGATGTACATACATAGTGTCAAAGCAGCTTTACTTAGAAGACTATAGTAAACTGAAACAGTGTGCGTTCAGTTTTGTGTTATTATTCACTGCTGAGAGTTCAAACACTGAAGAGCAAATCCATCGATGCGCAGCTCCACAGGTCCTGAACCATACAAGCCAGTGGTGACAGCGACGAGAGAAAAAAAATTCACCAATTGTCGAAAGATAAGAATTAAAAAACCACGAGAGAAACCAGACTCAGTTGGGCACGACCATTTCTCCTCTGGCCAAACATCTTGTGCAGAGCTGCAGTCTAGGTGCCGGAGGCTGGAGAACGCTGGACGTCCATCGTGGAGAAGCTGCAAGTGGTTTACCAAAACATTTCTTATGAAACTTAAAGCCCTTGTTTTTGTTGTGTTTGTTTTTCTCCCAAAAAAGTTTAGCTCTTTTGATTTGTTCTTAAAGGAAACACTGGTGTACAGCGTGAAGACGATTTTCAAATCAAACACCTACAACAAGATTTTTGAACACTTTGCTTTATTTAAAGATTTGTACAATACAAAAACAATGAAAGAACACTTTTTACAGTCGGCACAGTTACAATAAATGGAATAAACAGAGTGAAAATAAATCACAGCACAGAGCAGAGAAAACAATGAGTATCTGATTTTATGTGCACTCAATCAGAGCATAGCTTTAACTGAAAAATAAACCATTCGTTCATTCATTTTCTTTTTGGCTTAGTGCCCTTGTTAATCTGGGGTCGCCACAGCAGAATGAACCGCCAACTTATCCAGCATATGTTTTAAACAGCAGATGCCCTTCCAGCTGCAACCCATCTCTGGGAAACACCCATACACACTCATAAACTACAGACAATTTAGCTAACTCAATTAAAAAATATATATAATAAAATATAAATTTTCTACAGAAAAATAACATTTGAACAAAATATATAATTTTGAGTTGGTTGGCCCACCCAGCCCTCCCTCTTCTGCTACGCATGTGCCAGTTTATTACTTGAGCTGGAACACTTGATTGGCCCCATGCCTGCTGCTGGTCCCATTTTGGGAGTTACACTACTTAGTCGGTTGGGAGTCATCACCTCCGATCTCCAAACCAAAGCCAGCAGGATGGAGCTACAAGGCGTAGCCAGAAGAGTGGTATCCATAGAGAAAAGGGAGCCAAGTGGGGCTTATTCTTTTCTCTAACGCTTATGGATACTGACACATGGTTTTAACTCAATCTAAGCAGTGACTTTTTTTTTTTTGGAAAGTGCATCATGTAAATTCTAAAATAAAGTTTAAAAATGTATAAAAAATTCACTTTTTTATGTGCAAAGTTGAACCTATGCTCTGATTAATCGCATTTTTTGCACAATAAGTACTTTTTAAGTGCACAGATAAACACCGTTAACATAGAAGTTCTCGTAAATTGAAACTGTGTCAGTCCAGTTTTTGAAGTTGAATTTCAGTTTAGTTCATTTCAGTGTGGTTTAAAAGGCAGAACACTGAAGAGTTAATCTAACGACACACAGCTCCACAAGTCCCAAACCAAGCAAGCCAGTGGCGACAGTGGCGAGGAACAAAACTTCACTGAATGACAAAAGTGAAGGAAAAAAACCTCGAGAGAAACCAGGCTCAGTTGGGCACGACCATTTCTCCTATGGCCAAACATCTTGTGCAGAGCTGCAGTCTAGGCACCGGTGGCTGGACGTCCATCTTAGAGAAGCTGCAGGTGTGAGTAGATCATCTACAGCAGGGGTGTTCAAACTCAGTCCTGGAGGGCTGGTCTCCTGCATAGATTAGCTCTAACTTCCTTCAAAACACTTGCCTGGAAGTTTCTAGAACACCTAGAAAGAGCTTGATTAGCTGGTTCAGGTGTGCTTAATTGGGGTTGGAAGTAAAATATGCAGGACACCAGCTTTCCGGGACCGAGTTTGAGCACCCCTGACCTACAGAGACTCGCAGAGACTCGTCCGCCACTGGGGCTTTAAGCAAGAAATGTATTGTATTTCTTACTTAATCTGAAAAGCATTTTTTAAAGTGCACATATATCCAGAGATAAAACAGAAAGCTGAAAATAAAAAATAGGTGAGGGCTAGGGTCACTAGTTTGAGTCCTGACTAGACCAGGAGGTCTTTCTGTGTGGGACTCGATCCAGCGCCCTTCTATCTGTGCGGCTAACATTTAGCCATCTTGCAGCCCTGTGCTCTATGCTGTTTTTCTAGCTCAATCTGAAAAGCATTTTTTTAAAGTGCACAGACATCCAGAGATAAAAAAACAAACAATAATAAAACTGAATAATAAAAGTAGGTAAGGGTTAAGGTATGTGATTTGAGTCCCAGGTTTCCAGGAGGCCTTTCTGTGTGGGACTCAAACCAGCAACATTCTTTCAGTGTGCGGCAGCCATCTTGTAGTTCAGTTTATTTTATTTTCTTAGTTGTATATTACAATGCCTTTTTGCTTTCTGATTACTCTCCTTTTCCTTGTCTTTTTCGTAGGTTCGAGTAACAACAACTGGAGCAGAAAGGATGAGAAGGGTCTGATGCGCCTCGCCCTGGTCACATAACCCATGGCTTCCTCCAGAGGTAGTTTGTAGTACATCATCAGATATGCTACAAACAGTGTTGGCGCGTGACTGACACCATGCTTGCAATGAATAAACAGGACATCTGTGGAAATAAAATCAGAAAGTAAGTCAACACAAAGGTCAAACAAACAGTAAGTGTTAAATGTTTGATGAAAAAGATCTTACTGTCTGGCTTTCTCAAGGCCTTTGCGATGAACTTTCCAGCAGGCCAGAAGTATTTGACGATTCGCATTTGGTCGTATGTTGTAGGCAAGCCACAATATTTGATGTCCATGCCTTCATAATATTCCGGTCCTGTAAGGATCTTTCCTTTTAGTCCTTTCTTCTTTGGTTTTCCCTCCCAGGTCATCTTCGGCGCTGCTGCATTTAGGATATGGGTGACTCCCAATTCCATCAGTTTGCGTCGATTTCTTGCTGTCTCTCTGCACAAGAACACAATTTTGGTTAGTCTTTTACTAAAAAGGTTGTATTGCAAAATATATTTGTAATCTAGAATTACATATATACAAGAGGAATGCTTGTTTCTGATTGGCTGGTTAACATTCTGTGGTCAGAAAACACAAAGCTGAAATAGTTCCAGGCAGGTTTGGACTGAATTACACTTCCAAATCACTATTATCACTATATAGATATTAAAATTGCACAACCAACAAGACAAAAAATAGGTCAAAACAACATCTAAACAATGTCTTTAAAGGGATAGTGCATCCAAAAGTGAAGATTTACTCACTTTTTACCCACCCTCAAGTGGTTTCAAACCTTAATGAACTGAACACTTGTAACCACTGACTTCAATAGTAGGAAAATCATACTATGGAGTTTCCAATATTTTTCAAAATATCTCCTTTTGTTGTATTTTTAAAGACAAAAATCTTTGAAATAAGTCAAGGGTGATTAAATGATAACAGAATTTTCATGTTTGGGTAAGCTGTCCCTTTAAGTGTGTATAAACTAATTAATTATTAGAAAATAAATACAGTCCTGAGGTGGAGAGT